TGGATGGGGAGAGAGAAGAAGCAGGAGAGGGTGATTAAATAATTAGGACGGAATAGCAGTCAATAGCAGAAAGACATGACAAAGCGTCTGACCGACGTAGCATTAAATACGCTATAGAAGGCGCCTGAGCGCTCTCACTGTATGAGTTGTTGGTGCCTAAGTTATCTCACTTTTGCTGCAATTTATTGTTGATTGAGAACTAAGCCGTTATTTGTACGTTCCCTTCTGATACCGGTATTTTTTAATTCTTATATGGCCTATACCAAAACTTGACAGTATTTTATCGAGGCCGGCAATTCGCTGATCGATGTGGCTTCATGATGTGAATGACCGGACCCCGATATCAACCTACACTCCCAATTATTCGACCGCCGCCAGCGAAGAAACCCACTGCGTGCTCCACAGAGTGAGTCCAGCATCGGTGACTTATGCGTGAACCAGTTGACAGTGAATCCGACTTTCGCAGCACCCACGGCACTAGCTTTCTCCCTCACTCACCTAGTTCCGATAGTAAAGACAGTGTCGGGCCAACCTAAGGTGGGTCGTCTGCGCACCCTACACATGACTTGGTTTGCACTGCGTCTGGCAGACGTACGCTGGGGGCGCCAGGGATCCCACCTTGAGTGGGAGTGCTATAAAGGTCACATTAGGGAGTCACTACAGCCTGATGCGTAGTCCTAAGAAGGATCAAGTTACCCGGGCTGGGGCGACCCTCCAAGCTCCACCCCTTAGCGTGCCGTGGTAGATTCAAGAGCACCCGATTGATGCCAGTCCGGGAAACGCTGGTTTTCCGTGAAGATGGATTCTTCAATGTCGGCCCTGCTCACTCTCACCCCTCTGGCCTGCACCAGTCGACTGTTCGGGCCTCTCAACCAGCCGGTGATGAGATTGGACGCAGAGGCTGACGCGCCTTGAACACCTGCGTCGAGGGCGTGCTACACGCGGGTGGACGGCAGTAGTTGTGGGCCCGCGCGAACCCAACACAGCCCGGTAAACCCGCGCCGCGAGCCAGTCTGACCCCCTACGTCGACCCCCAACCATTGGCGTAACAACAACCCTACTCTGTCCCCACTGTCGCCGGACGGGCGAGTTCCAGGTAGCAGTTCAGAAGGCGAAGATGCGATCACTGGAACAAGAAATTTATTGGCCTGACGTTTCGGATTCTCACTCGAATCCATCATCAGAGACATTCGCAGATAAAGGTGATGGTGGCACAAGGAGTGCAGTATTTATAACACGTGGCTGTCGTGGGACCATATGCGCGCTGTAATCAACAGCTATCGCAATCACCGATGGAGTCGTAATTGATGCGGTGGTGGCTTATCAGTCCGATTCCAAGTCGTTAATGGCCGTGATTTTGTCATCTGTGCTGGATGCTGATGTGACGATTGCTCGGCAAATTGGCTCACTGTCACTGGGATAATTGTTCGCCCGCCCCCCCCCCGCGAATGTCTCTGATGATGGATTCGAGTGAGAATCCGAAACGTCAGGCCAATAAATTTCTTGTTCCAGTGATCGCATCTTCGTCTTCTGAATGGATTCTTAAGTGTTTTTAACCAGACTAAGATCCGGATTCCTACTTCAACAGCATGACGTTTACCCCAGTTTTGCTTCTAGCACTCTTGCCCTGACCTTCTTCGCTTGTCTGTGGGCCACAGTGTCTAGAGCATACTTATCTAGAACTGATGAACCTTAAAACAACATCTTGCCCTCTTTCGCTGTCTCTTGTGAGTGGATCCCGCAGAAGAAAAAACCTGCACCACAGCAGACGCACATGTGCACGTGACTGCTGGTTCGGGCGCAAGATTAATGCGACTGGAATTAAGGAGAACTTGGTGACAAAACGCGTTATAGTGGCGGCTTTCCGAGGAAGGACGGCAACCAATTCATGTTTTAGACGTCTGTGAACGCGTTTGATAAGAAGCCGCTATTAGAATCGAACAGGCGAGTACCAAGAAGCAGTTGAGAAGAGAAAGATGTAACCACTGTAACACGAAGTTTATCGGCCCTACGTTTTGGAGTCTCAGTCGAACCCATCATCAGAGTGGGTCGTTGATAAGGGTGGCGGAGGCACAAAGACTGCAGTATTTATGGTACGTGGGGCCACATACGTACTATAATTGACAGCTCTTGTGATCACCGCTGGGGGTCGTAATTAAGGCGAGTCGTTAATTGCCGAAATTTTATTATCCGTGTTAAACGTTGACGTGATGGTTACTGGGCCATTCGATCCCCTGTCACCAGGATAGTTGAGCGTCCGTGCCTTCCCCACGTGACTGACTCTCCTGCTCAGGTGATGTCTCAGCACTGAATATGGTACCGGGAGTTCATTGCGCTTGTTGATGGATTGCAGTATTTATGGGACACAGTGGCCAGGCAACCACAGGCCTACAATAAATAACAACATTTGCGTCTATTGTTTCGTCTCTGGGCAGAAACCGGGTTGAATCCGAAGGGACAGCTAGAACGAGCAACATGAGGGAGGATATATCGGTGACAACGGAGCGCATTGACGGCTTCACGGCTGCTTTACGTTGCTCCGTAAAATGAAGGCAGAATGAAAGGCGCAGCAGTATTCAACTGTTTTCAGGCCAACAGCCAGTTGCGGTTGCCTTCACACTCGCTTCACAGCAAGGCCAGCGATCGTGAAAATCAAGGTTTTCAAACAGCCTGAAAAATCATTGTCAGTGAAGTTTTTTCAGACAGTCAAATAAAAGGCAGCTGAACAGACGTGCCACGGTTTTCGCGAATTCGATAAAAATTCGCCGATAGAAGCGAGCAGGCGAGTTCCTGGACGCATTTCAGAAGACGAGGATGCGACGCTGGAATGGCAAGTTTATCGATCCGACGGTTCGGATTCGCACTCGAACCCATCATCAGAGACAGTCGCAGACACGAGTAGTGGAGGCATAAGGAGTATATAGGAAGTAGCCGGCGTGGCACCAAATGCTAATATAATTAATAGTCCTCGCTATTACTTCTGGGGATCGTAATTGAGACGATGATGGCTTGTCAGTCCACCTCAGAGTCGTGAATTGTCGCGATTTCATCATCCGTGCTAGATGTTGGCGTGATGACTACTCGGTAATTTGGCTCGCAGTTACTGGAATTGCTGCTCGCCCGCATCCTCCCACGTGACCGATTCTGGTGCCCAGTGACGGGAGGTCATTGTGCGTGGCTGAGAATCATGACTTGATAAACTTCTTGTTCCAGTGATTGCACCTTCTTCGCCTGAAGTAGCCGTTGCGATGACTAGCTGCGGAAGCATTTGAACAATAAGTCCTGTTGATTCAGCACATATGCAGCATATGGTAAGATGTGGTTATGTAGCCCCACCTGATGGACACAATACTGTTGGGGTTAGGGTTTAGGGTTAGGGGGTTAGGGCAACTATTTCTCGACCACTTAAAGTACAACCGTGCATTCCCAATATCTTTTCGTTTGCATACAATTACTTGACCTCGTCGCCTGTGCGTTCCCCTGTCCCACATGTAAAAACCCCTATTACCACAGGTCCCGTAATACAGGTGGCTAGGGGTTGTTTACTTCAGGTGGGGCTACACAAACACATCTGACCGAAAATATAGGATGGAAGTATGACTTGCTGGAGGTCTTCGTCTCAGGCCAAATATGCTCACGGAAATTATCCGGCCCCGGTGAGGCGCATACTGCATGGCCTGGACAAAAGAAATGCGGTCTCGTCTCTAGGCATCCTGATGATGACATAAAAAGCTGAAGCGGTGGGAGGGAGACTGTTTTCGTGTGATCTTTAGTCAGTCATACCCGCTACTAACAGCGGGTGCACACGGTGCAGGGGTGAGGTCAGAGCGATGCGCCGGCAGCACCACCAACCCCCCATCAGAAAGGTCTCGTAGGAGTGGATCGGATTCCTCCTAGTGAATGTACATGACTATGAGGAGAGGAGGAATACTGGGTGAATAGGCGCTGTACTGGCTAAGATCAGTTGCGCCTTCAAAGGGCTACAGGGACTATGCGCATGGGGCCTCCGCCCCTCTCCTCCAATCCAGGAAAGAGGTGTAACTGGTAAAACTAAGACTTCTTCATATGTTCGTTTTTAAAGTCTGCGGCAGGTGACTCTCGTGGAGGGAGGCTAACAACGAAGACCTGAACAGAGGGACCGCCAAAGCAACTCAGTAGAGAAAACTGATATTTGTGTTGCGTTGGCCTCATCTTGTGAGACAGAAATGAGGGAGTGGCGAGGAATTCGCATTGCTTGCAGCCCCCTTCCCCCATAAAAGACTCGATCGGAACTCAAAAGGTTGGCAGGCCACCAACGTCCCTGACTTTTTGACTCCAGTAGTCAGCAACATTAAAAGGCCACTGCTATTTGAAAGCATTCCCCCGGGTTCAAACAAACCAATGCACAAGGTAAGCTCATGGACGAACAATACCTACCAGGGGCTCGTGGCTGTAGGTCACTGATTCCGTGATAGGCAAAGCAGGTGCAACCAGCAGGACGATTCGACCACTAAGGCCCATCTAAAAAAAACAGTCGCCAAGAGGGAATGCTATTCAGAAATGTAAGCAGTGCGGAAAAAAAATTGCTAGGTCGGAGGGACGAGGAACAGTTACCGCATGCAAAAAATCGTGCGAGCAAAAGGCAGCAATTTGTCTTTCTACGTTGGACTACCTACTGTGACTGATTATCGACAGAACCTTTCATGAGTAGTAAACTTGCAGACATGGCAGCGATTTGGGCCCTATACAAGAAAACCTTGTGGAAGATGACGAAGGAGAGGAAGGGGAAGAAGGAGAAGAAGGAGATGAAGAAGAAGAAGAAAGAAAAAGAAGAGGAAGGCGAAGAAGGCGAAGAAGAGGAAGGGGAAGAAGAAAAAGAAGAGGAAGAAGAAGAAGAAGAAGAAGAAGAAGAAGAAGAAGAAGAAGAAGGAGAAGAAGAAGAAGAAAAAGAAAAAGAAGAAGAAGAAGAAGAAGAAGATGATGATGATGATGATGATGATGATGATGATGATGATGATGATGATGATGATGATGATGATGATGATGATGATGATGATGATGATGATGATGATGATGATGATGATGATGATGATGATGATGATGATGATGATGATGATGAAGTGGAAAATAGTGGTAAGATTTGCCGACTTAAGTAGCTCTACGTCAGTATCACTTGTCAGACCGCCTTCGATCGTAGCGACGTCGACCGCAAAAGGTCTTCCTCCACAGAAGGCACTACTTAGTTTGGGAAGCTGTTATCGTCTAAACAGCAGGAAAAGGGAAAAACTCGCAGAGCTTGCGTTGTCCATCTGAGAAGAACCGCTGATCGGTCGATTTATCGCCAGATGAATGCAAATTCCCCCCTGTGTCCTCTGGGTTGAACTGAGAAATTGAATACCTACTTAATGAAATTACCCAGCAAAAGGGTTTTTTCATCTTTGTTGAAAAATTAGGGCGTCGCATCGATATCCTTTAGCTCGATACGGGCGTCTCAGCGGTTCCTCACTAACCTTCTATTCTAAAATACGACGGGAGGTTGTTTGGTCGAGCTGCTTTTCGTAAAACAGAAAAAAGGAGAACGTCACAGTAAAAAAAAACTACGTGAAAAGGCATCCGAATTAACAAGGGGGCAGTAGCGCATGCTCTTCAAACAGGACATCCAACGGGGGCAGGCTGAAAGGCAACAAACATCAAGCGAGGCAGAAATAAAACAGCAAGACGACCTACCGCAGACTAAAAATGGACTGAAATGATGGAGAAGCTTGGTGAAGGAGTCTGATGTTATCTTTATACAAAAAGAAACGTGTAATTGTTTAAGAAGCACCTATCTAGTAAAAGAACACAACAGTTAATCGATGCCAGTTCGGCATATATACACAACGGAACAAGCAAGTTCCGTAACTTGATCGGTGAGCACCCATTTGTCATAATTGATATTTCTGATCACAACCGACAGGAAAACGGGCCCGTGGCTCAATAGTAGTGTCCAACTCCATGACCATCGATCCCGGGTTCGAATATCAAGTGATCCACACTTGGGGTTGGGTATGACTGGCTGATGACGGCTAATAAGCCGGAATAGCATTACCGACAAAGACAAGGGAGATCGGAATGGCCATTTCTGGCTTATTAGCCATCGTCAGCCAGTCATACCAAACCCCGAAGTGTGGAACACCTGGGACTCGAACTCGCGACCTGTTAGTTAGAAGTCCAAAGCCTCTAACCACCGGGCCACGGGCCCGTTTTCCTGTGGGTTTCGATAGGGAATATACAATGGTCGGGTATGACTGGCTGACGACGGCTAATAAGTCAGAAATGGCCATTCCGGTCGCCCTTGCCTTTGTCGGTAATGCTATTCTGCCTATATCATGCGCCGCTGTGTGGCTGCTGGTTGGACTGGAGAGGCAGCCCGTAAGGAACAACGGGACGAGTGAGTTCCGTAGAAACGATCGGTGAGCGCCCCCACCACCATTATATATATGCATATGCATTGAAAAAGGAGGTTTACCAGAAACAAAACTCGAATTCTTTTCGAAGAACCTGTTTTTCATTATATCGGCTCGGAATGTATACGATCCCTGTCATATGTGTATATGCGTGCAGTAAAACAAAGGTAGAATGCGTTCAGAGCGGAAATAATTAAGAGGTTCACGAAAAAGACCCAGTTATACCTGAGAATTTTAGAGTGACACCAAAACCTCGGTAGACGAAGTAAAAACAAGGAGAAGAGCGAGATTGCCAGACGACAGGCGAGACAGGAGGAGGAGGAGGAGGAGGAGGAGGAGGAGGGTAGATGTCAGATCAGCGGGAATGTGGGTGGCTGGACTAATGGCCGTCTATATGGGACAGAGACAGGGGTCGGTGAGTCGCGATCGCATACCCTCGTAGTACACGTCTAGGCTAACATGGCGGTTGACATAGCGTTCAAATAAAGATTCCAGGTCAGAATCCCAGGTGTTTCAAACCTAGAGTTAGGTATGGCTGGCTGATGACGAATAATAAGCCGAAAATGGTCACTCTATTCTCCCTCGTCTTTGTCAGTAATGTTATTCTGGACACACTACGACCCGCCGTGCAGCTATTGGCGGGGCTCGAGGTTGAGCCCCAGTCACAAGCGGGGAACGAGTATGTCCCGTAACGCGATCGGTGAACACCCATCTACCATCGTATGTAGCTGATCGGAACCGATAGAAAGAGTCCGTGGTTTAACGGTTAGGGCGTTGGGCTTCTAATCAACAGATCGCAGAATCGAGCTTCAGGGGTTGCAAAACCTGAGGTAGGGTGTGGCGGGCTGATGACGACCAATATGGTTTCAAACGTCGGTGCACGAAACAGCAAAAGCTAAAAGGAAAGGAACTAGATAGTTCCAATCAGGCGTCCACAGCAAATACTTGGTAAATCCACACATCAAGAACATGCTTGAACTCGCTGATAGGCAATTGCGAAAAGATAGAACACAAGTGGTGCACAAACCGACGACTACTTTACGCATTCAGCTTGTGTACACCCTAAACATAGGGTTGGTTATCTTGATACGGAGGAATTCGTCTTCAAGATCTCATGAGGTGCCCGAAATGACGTATATTAAGGCTAAACGGGAAAATCCGCCATTAAACGCATCCCCCCGCGTACCAACTGACAGTTAAGAGGCGAGACCATCTGTTGCAGATGAATTAAGCCACTTCTAAATTTTGTAGGTTTTGCCAACTTTAAGAAGTATATTTACTTTGGCAATTGTAGGTTCAACTCGTTTTAAGGATATTGCAAGAATTTCAGAAATTAATTTTTTTCCGCAAGGCGTTCTGGCGTTTTAAGCGTGTGAATTTTGCGATTTTAAAGGGTCAACATTCAGTATATATATATATATATATATATATATATATATGTGGAAGGTTGAAGGGCTTTCACCGACCAGGCTGCGGGACGTGCCAATCCCGTTGCGTCCTGAGGTATATACTTCTTTACATCGATATGCGTACATATATATTACTAGTCGCAACGAAACGAACATTCCCGTAACCTGATTGGTGGACGACCTTTCCATGATAATGTATGCGGTAAGCTAACTAGTTCGCAGATTATCATGGGTATATGATTTGACGCTATGGTGAAATAACTGCCAAATAACTGTGTCATAAATTCCAGGAGATTAAATTTAGTAACTAAACACTTCCTGGTGGCAGCCAAGCGGCTGGGTGAATGGAAAGACGCCGACGCATTCGAGAAATGGATTTACAGAAGACTTCTTGCTTGTAGTGGAGCGCTGGGATTGACAGTCGCATCCGCAACGAGTATTATTCGCAGGCCGTCAGAGTACCCACAGAGCATCACACAAAGTCAATGCACACGAGTGGGATTGTGGTCGACAACTGGACCTCGATCGCAGGGTCGAAAAGCACACACGCACACGCACGCGCATCGGTCGGGCGGCTGTGAAACGCCAGGGCGCAAACGCGAACCAGTGCAAAAACGACTGGACACTTATACGCACACACACACTCATCCACCATATGGCCTCACTAGCGCATTTGAATGCCAGCTCAGGTCAGAGAGAAAAAACGCGTACAAGGCGTACGCAAATGGTCAAAGTTTGAGGCATCATTTGAAAGACCGCAAGCCCGTAGTGAGACCCTAGATAACCAAACACAAAACCCGCCTTCTACGAAACCTCCCCAATTCTGGGAGTGTACGCGGTTTCCACCATCGGATACTAGCTAGACGTTAGTAAAAAAACAAGGTCTGCAAATCCTATTTTCGAGGAACATGTGCACACAGCTGGGTACATTAATTCTGTGACCTGGTTTGCTTATCTATCCTCGGCACATAGGTCTCCTGCTGATCGAACAAGCGCATATTTGCCGGTGGTGGTGGTGGTGGTGGTGGTGGTGGTGGTGGTGGTGGTGGTGATGGTGGTGGTGGTGGTAAGATGTGGATGATGATAACGCTAACAACGATTATGCTGGCTGCTCCTAGGTGTTAAACGGGGAACCATGAGCACAAGTGGCTAGGATCCGCAGTCAATGTCCCACTGGGCTAGCATGTTCAGCAGCGAGACTACAGTAGCAAGTACGGCGGCACAAGTGACTACAGTCCGCCTACTTCGTACTAAGTTGTAGCTGCAGACGACGCTGAAGTAGGCGAGCCGGCACTGGAGATGATTAAGTCAAAATTCTCATGAGCAAATGCGGTACAATTTAGAACCAACTGCTGCACCGGAGGCGTACTCTTCCCCTTCCCCCCCCCTCCCTTAAAAAGTACAATTCCTGAACTGCGCATGGCAACACCTTTGCGGCTTGCCAGCTGACTGCAGCTGTGCGTGCAGATGGTGCGCCCTTCTCTGCGTGTTTATTGAGCTAAGCACTGACAGACGTCTCATTTAAGATTCACGCTTGTTTGACCTTGAGGTGGGAGAGCGAGCAAGCAGCACTCACACAAACACAAGACGACGTCGGTGTTACGATGTCCGACACTGCGGGGACGGTGTGGGGATGTCGGACGAGGCAGTGACGCTGAGTCAAACGCATCCCGCCAGCTATGTTTTGTGTTTCTACGCGTACACCAGGCAGGTTCCTGGAAGACATCAAAATGATGACAGTCCCGAATGTATCAACACCAGGGGCTGTTATCCAAGCCGGGTAGAGGGCTTCAGTTCAGTAAGAGAGAAAAAACAGTTCTTACCAGTGTGTCACTGACATAATCGACGTCCTTGCCGGTGAGATCAATGCCGTTGACGGAAAGTAGTTCATCGCCCTCGTTTAGAAGTCCTGGCAGAAAGACGAGTTGTAGTCATTAGCATAACAATCAGGCGGAGACACAGCAGACTAAGCTGACAGCCCCACAAAGAACTGCTAGAGGCTAATTAGTCATAAGGTAAATAACTTGGAGACGGAATTAAATAAGGGACGAAGGAAGCAGCCTCGGTTTTTGATGAAGTCATACCACCAGCGAGTATCTGGGAGCTAGGCTGAATGAAAACGCGAAAACCATCGAAAGAGATATGGGGTCGAGAAGTGAGCGCAAGCAAACAGGCTGGAATCGATTTCAAAATTTTACCAGTCTGGGACCTCATGACAGGGGGTTAATTGAGGTAAAACGGAACAATCACCTGATCGTTCGATGAGGCCTCCGCTCATGATGCGACCAATCACAATAGCCG